CCCTCCAGCTCCACCCACGCCCTTGCCCCTCTTGCCCTTGCTGGAGCGACGTCTCCCACTAGGGGTAGACGCCGCGCCGACCGACTCAAGACCAAGCAGGTCGGCAGCAGCAGCAGAGGCAACAGAGGGCAGCAAGGGGGAAGGAGAAGCACCTACAGCGACTATGCTCTTCTCCGCTGCAAGGAGGGCCTTCTCGAGGAGGTCGACGGTGAGGGTGGTGGGACAGGCTGCGAGAAAGTGGTCCCTGACGACGCGAAGGGAGTCAGGGAGGCGCGCGACTACGTAGTAGAGAGCGATGTACATGGGGGGTGGGTTCTTAGCGCAGAACTCAGCAGGAAGGGCGGAGCGGTAGCGAGTGTCACTAGTGCGGAGGTGCGTAATGAGGTCAGCAACAGTGGGAAAGGCAGAGAGGTCAGGAAAGAGGTAGGGAAGCATGAGACGGCTCAGTGCAGCAGTGGCAGGGGAGGAGTAGCGCGCAACTACAGCGTCGTACAAGGTCTGAGCACTCTTGTACTGACTAAAGTGCGCACGCTCAGAGGTAGGGAGGTGGCGACGCACAGCAAGACGTGCAGCAGCATCGCGGGTGGCCCACTGAGAGCGGACAGTGGGATCAGCATCAGCAGCAGGAGCAGGAGAGGCGCCAGAGGTGAGGTCAAAGAGAGAAAGGTCGTCAGCCCTGTCGCACTGTAAGAACAGCTGCAGGTCGTCTAACCAGACCTCAAAATCAATGGCGCGACCCTTAGCGTCAAAAGCTAGGACACGAGGGGTAGCCATGGCGACGACAGCGACGCAGTGCAAGCAGTAGGGAAAGAGCTCGCAGTGTCAGTGGGACTGTGCTCACCAGGCAGGGCAGGTCGTGCAGCTCTGCAGAAAGGCGGCTCAGCGACCGGGCGGCTCGGGTGCACAGCGGCTCGGCTCCCGGGCGGCTCGGCGGCTGGGCGGCTCGGGCGCAGGGCGGCTCGGCTCCCGGGCGGCTCGGCGGCAGGGCGGCTCGGGTGCAGGGCGGCTCGGCTCCCGGGCGGCTCGGGTCCCGGGCGGCTCGGCGTTGGGCGGCTCGGCTCCCGGGCGGTTCGGCTGCTGGGGCGGCTCTACTGCTGGGGCGGCTCGGCCGGGAGATGCAGGGGCGGGGCCGTCAGGTGCAGCGGCGGGTCGACCGGTGCAGCGGCGGGCCGGCAGGTGCAGCGGCGGGGCCGTAGGGTGCAGCGGCGGGCCGACCAGGTGAGGCGGCGGGCCGTAGGGTGCAGCGGCGGGCCGGCAGGTGCAGCGGCGGGGCCGTCAGGTGAAGCGGCGGGCCGCTGGGTGCAGCGGCGGGCCGACAGGTGCAGCGGCGGGCCGGCAGGTGCAGCGGCGGGGCCGTTAGGTGAGGCGGCGGGCCGTAGGGTGCAGCGGCGGGCCGTAGGGTGCAGCGGCGGAGCCGGCGGTGGGGCCGCGTCAGTGGAGGCGGCGGGGCCGCGTCAAGCAGGTGGCGGGGCCGCGACGAAGCGGGCGGCAGGGCCGCGTCAGAGCCGGCGGCGGGGCCGCGTCAGTGGAGGCGGCGGGGCCGCGTCAAGCAGGCGGCGGGGCCGCGACGAAACGGGCGGCAGGGCCGCGTCAGAGCCGGCGGCGGGGCCGCGTCAAGCAGGCGGCGGGGCCGCGATCAGGAGGGGTGGCGGGGCCGCGTCTGAGGGACAGCGGGGCCGCGAGGGAAATGGCGACCCGAGGGGTCGCAAAAAAAAAGGCGCGCCTCGGGGCGCGCTTCGGTGGGCCCTAAAAAAAAACGGTCCTAAGGAAGGACCCGCTCTATACCATGTGAAACAAGTGAACAGGGAATGAAATGACTAAGTCAGAGTTGGGTACAAATACAACCCTAGAAAGCTGTACCCCATATGTGCTACCCCACTATAGCCTACAAACATGCATCAGCTATAATACTCTGACAAAAAGAGCGAATCTGCAATGTCAGGGCGAGTTTTCTGTGATTGGTCGAAAATTGTTGTGCTCTGACAGCGCAAGACAGTTGTGCCAGGGCGATTTTGCTATGATTGGGCAAAAATCTTGTGCTGTAAGGCTCGGATTTGCTGTGTCAAGGCGATTTTGCGTTGACATTGCGAATCTGTTGTGACCTGTAAGTCCGAATCACCAGTCAAGGACGCGTTTGTACTCTGAATGATCATAGTACACTCTCAGAAAACTCTGAACTATCAGAGTTAGCCTTAAAAAAAGTATGAAAATTACAGAGTTTGGGCCCAAAAAAGTCTGATTTTAACAGAGTACACTGGAAAAAAAAAAAATCTGAAATATCAGAGTTTTTTGTGAAAATCAGAGAAAAAAGTCTGACTTCGTAGGGCCTGACCCTTATGTTGCAGCGCGAGGTTCGCAGAATGAATAAGACGCCAATGATATCGCCCCAACTCGTAGCTTCTTGCACGTTGGCCTGTTACAGGGGTTTGTGCGAAGGTGATCGTGGTGGTTCGCCAAATCATGGAAAAGAATGGCAACAAAAATGTTACACATCTGATGCGCGATTCGACTTGAAGGAATATTTCGCAATGGAATCTTGCCGAATTGGAGGAAGTGCTGCACGATGAATTTCTGTCAGAACATTTGTCATATCCCATATAGAGAACACGCTTCTATTTGTGCGCTTGTTTTAGATGGTATTGTACAGACGCATGAGACATCAAATAGTGTTCTCGTACCAGTTTATAGCTCTTTAACTTGATTGTAACCGTTTACAGCTCATAACGTACGTGCTATTATAATGAGATACTACACCCTTATAAGAACTCCCAGATCTAAGAGCGTGTAACTATTTTGCACTCGACGGAACGAACCGTGGACCGTACGTCGATGCGAAGGGTAACCATTCTCGTTTGATGTCGTGCAGTTTTTTGCGATGATGTGTGCGACGTCGCTACAAATTCGAACCGTCCTGTCACTTTTTCCTCTTTCCAACGACACGAAACTCTGACAACGGACGGTCCGAATCACAAACGGACTGTCCGCCTGTCCGCGCACGCGATTGGCGGGCGAATTTGGATTTCAGCGGACCGCCTCGCCAAAAAATGGGAAAATGCGACTCGGATGCAAAAAGGGACATTGACCAATCACAACTAGCCTCACTTCAATACAAGAAGCCACGAGAATTACCCACGAAGGGCATGGTGTGGAAGGCCTTTGTGGTTGTTTGAAAATTTCCTATGTTTGTCCGAAGCGCTGAAATTCACCAGCGAAAATAGCGATGGGTTGTGACTGGCGTTACTGGTGTACATTTGACATGGCGAAGGGAAAACCATCGCGGAACCCTAGCATGTGGAAAAAGTGACACATCTGCATTCGTACCGTCCGAAGTTGCAAACATTCAAATCGGACAGTCCGTTTCGGTATAAACGTACCGTCCGATTCCATATAATCGGACGGTACGTCAAAATCACAAAATTCAAAAAAGTTACACGCCCTAATACCGAAGGTTCCGCTCTGTTTTTGCTTGGGCTACCCTGTACTCCCCTCCCCTCCCCATCAGCATGGAAGTGCCAGTCGAGTATGGCCAAGGGTGCACGGCTTGATAATTCCAGCTCATTTGATTTCCCACTGCCATGGCTGATTCTGATTGTCGCCAGGAGCACTGAATTTCATCAACTTGATTGAACTGGCCAGATTCGTCGGCTCCTTTGGTTTTGGTCCCGGCATCGAAATTTGACCCGCATTTCCTGCCATTCCTTCATTGAGATGAGATGGGTCGAGCGTTCCCACCTTGATTTGAGCTTGACCATATAGCTGACCCGGTAGAGGAATTTTGTTCGTTTTGGAACACCTGGTGTTCCGACGGGTTAGTAACACGACTCCTTTTAGATTCGACACGGTACAGGGTCTCAGGGCTGAATGCTGCAGATCGGAGTCGCCACACCCGCAGCTTCCGGCGCATCTTCGCTTGAATTCGTCGTCGACTCGACTCTCTCTTCCTCTCTCGCACCGCAGAACCGACTCCTGCCTTCGACTCGATCCGTGCGACGCGTCAGCGTAGAGTGTTGCCATTCTGTCACTCGACATATTATTTTCTCTCCGCTCGACGTCGAATCCTATAACGATCCACCACGTCACTGTACAGTTGCCTTGACG